AACGTGAAGGAGAGAGAGAGAGAGGAGGAGAGAGAGAGAGAGAGAGAGAGAGAGAGAGAGAGAGAGAGAGAGAGAGGGAGAGGAGAGGGAGAGGAGAGAGAGAGAGATTCTGAATCAACACCCACAAACACTACGATTACGTCAACTTTGGCGTACCAATCACAGAAAACACCTAAATGAGTTTGATCTGAACTCAGCTCTCACAAAGAGGAGGGATCGAGGTGTAGGAGAATTAGACGGGGAGGAGGAGAAGAAGAAGAAACACAACATTGTGTTGGGCGCACTGAATCCGCTTAGCTACACATCTCAGTATCGTGATAATCAAATTACCTTGGTTATAATTAGCGGGGGAGACACAAAAAACATTTCTCAAGTGGACATGATGTGCAAATTATAACATACCTCTCCATCCATTGCTTTTGTTATAGTTCTCTGTATTCCTTTCCCGACACACCAGTTAACCCCCCCCTTGGGTTTTCCCTTACGAGCTCCTTGCCGTTGCACCCTGACTTAACTGACTACAGGAAGACGCGAGTGCGTTTCTCGAAACGAATTCCGTTTATCATCTACTTATCTTCATTTTTTGGTGTGTTTTGTTTGCTGTATTCCACTCAACGTGGTTTGGACCTGGAACGCAGGGTCCAAATTACCTGCCTCCCAAATTATCTAATTTTGTCGAGGTAGGCGTTAAGTGAGTGATTTTACTTATACTTATGTCTTTAAATATTATACTTCTTGTCAATCACACCCCCAAATTCCCGATTCGGCTAAAAATTATGGAATTTGAGTTGTCGGCATTTTTAGCTTCATCAGCCTCTCCTACAATTGTTTCATCGCATAAGAACCCTAAAAAAAACCGAATTTTCCCCCATGCCGGGCATGTTTGTCACCACCATTTCGTCATAAAGTCATTATTTTATTTTTCTTTATGGCTGTTTTCTCTAAACGCGACTTTTCTCTATTCTTTTTGGAATAACTCTACCATTTTTCATCCAATCTTCACGAAATTTTCACAGATCAAAGAGAAGATGTAATACAAAAAAATTGTATGTTGAATTTTTGATATAAGGAATAGATTTTTGTTGGTGGTGTCTCACGGATTACGGATTTTTTGCAAAATTCTATGCTACCTCAGGAAAAAATTCATTAAAAATTTTCTTATACGTTTAGGAAAAAAACAACAGACAAATTGTTAGATCTAGTGTTTGTTAACACGCATGCAAAAAAAAAAAACCCAATCAATTTCCATAAGCAATAAGTGCGGTATTCATTACGTATGGCATGTCAACAAAATCCAATATGACCGCCGTATCCATGGAAACGGAACTTTTTTCTCAAATCTGATAGCGGATTTTAAGACTCCTTACTATGCTTGTTATATGTGTGAAATTTGGTAACATTTGGTCCTTTAATAAGCGAGATAACCTGCAGGTGTAGCCCCCCCCCCCCCCTTAAACTAAGTGAAATACAATGTATATGTACTGTATACATTTCAAAGATACCCTACTGAGACAGCGGATAAAAAGACACAAATTAATTTAGGACTATTAGTATTAGCAACAGCAACTAAATAAAGAGAGGCACCATTTTAGGGATTTTAGTAGTAGACGAACATCTTCTAAAGAAAAAGACATCATTTGAGGGTATTTATCATATTATCGTTCCCTTCTGACGCAACGAATGGGATTAGATAACGATGAATGTCTCTGTCGAAGAAGAAAGTACCGTGCATTGCAATATATCTGTTTTCCGGAAACTTGGTTGCTTTCAGAATAACTGAAGAGACCATAATTTATTTCAATAGGCTAGATCTACCTTTCACTCAACTGATCCATTTTCGCCCTATTTTTCTTTGCATCCCCAGCCGTAAGCTGGAGGTCGTTTAATGTTACATCCATCTCTTCGGAAATACAATGTAGTAATAGGTTTTTAATTGCTCTGATATTCCTCTCTATTACGGCCGTTTCTTTTTACGATGCTGACGTTAGATTTCTTATTACGATGCTGACGTTAGATGCTTCTTTTCTTATCTGTATTTTCTGTGTTTGTATCTTATTCAAGGATCCTTGATTACTTAACGAACGGACAAAAGTTGTGATGCAAAGTTTCGACGTACATAAAATGACATTTTATCCAATTCTGCTTGTTTGACAACTCTTAAAGGTACATTGTTTCGGGGCAATATATACCGAGTTGCAAAAGTTCTGTCATACCCACCTTAAAAATACAATAACTCACTTACTTCTCAACATAGCCAAGAGAAATTTGGTATACACAATCTTTATTCATTTTCTGCGAGCATGACATAAAAAGAATTGACAAATGTCTTTCCTTGTTCAAGGGGGATAATTTTATTCACACTGACTCTTGCAAAATCCAAATCAAAGTTTGCCCAGTATGGCGTGTGGCCTCTTCTAGCTTGAATTACTGATACAAAACATCTGTTCATTGGTTGAATTGAAGTCCTTATGGTTGTCTGAAGAATCCCCTGCCATTCCTTGTGAAGTGCAGCCTTCAGTTCCTGACCAGTTTGTACAGAGTGCGGCCTATTTCTAATCCTCCAGTCAAGGTCATCTTACAGATATTCTGTTAGGTTATGGCTTGTGGATCTTGCAGGCCAGTCCAGAACAACGATTTGATGTGTTTGGAAGAAGTTTTCATTCATCGTAGCCATTTGTGGTCGGGCGTTGTCTTGTTAGCCGATTCCATCATCGGTGCCATGTAGCGTAGTCACCGTGACGAAGAATTTCGTCACAATGATGTCGTTATTTGAGATTGCTTTGAAAAGTAACTAAATGTATACGATAAAAAGCAGAGATTCCACCACCTACCATCACATTTCAGCCACCTTTGGGCCTCTTGGGGGACGTTAGATTTGTGAAATTTCTATTCTCGTCTTTTAAACACTTTTTCTCTTCCATCAATGCTACGAATTAAAAACCTTAATCATTGTTGAAAAGAACACTTTACCAACGTCTTTAGTTTTACGGACAATGTTGTTTTGCCAAAATTTGGCGATTTCTTCCATGAAACAGGGTCAAAATGGTTCCATATAAGGGGCGAAAATCACGTAATCCACGATCTTAAAAATGTCCAATAATGATGTTTCAAGATAGTCCAAAGTGCCTTGCAGTCTCTGCACTAAGTTGGAATGGGTTTTGAACATGGGTGTTGACAATAACCCAATTCTGATGTCGAGTTGTCGCCCTTGGTTGGCTACGTCTCGGCTTGTCTTGGTCAGTTCTAGTGGTGGTGTTAAAACGTTTGTTCAAGGGTTTGATTATTCCTCTGCAAACATTTACGTGTCTTGCAAATGCAGAACGCGCTATTAAAGAATTTATCATATACACAGCCCCTTTATTTTCTGAATTTATCATTTTAAAAAATTTGAAAACAGGAGAAAAAGGTACCCAACCGTTAAAAAATACGAAATTGTATAGTGTGTAAGGCGTGTTTACACATTGTCTATGTGATTAAAAGCAAATGTTGTGTGTAGGAAGGGTTGATATCAACACAGACCGAGATAAATCAATACCGACACTTTGTCCCCGTTCTACTTCCGGTTTATGATTTCTTTGGTCTGCTCTTGCACA